TAGAAAGCCTCATTCAGGCCCCATGAGAAAAGCAGAAGGAAGAGAACACAACATCTCAAGGTCAGTAACCCAGGCTGAAAAAGAAAGGAAATTACTCTTTTAAGAGTACAGTGGGAAAATATCAGAGGAGCAGGTGCAAACTAAAGCATAAGATCATAGCTTTCCAGGCGGTGGACACAGAACAGTAAGTTTGATGATGAAAATTAAGAAAAACATTGTTTTATGTTAGGGTGACTGTTTTGGTTTGCATAGGACTAACCCAGCTTTAGCATTAAAATTTCTGTATCCCAGGACACTACTCAGTCCCAGGTAAACCAGGACCATTGGTCACCCTAGTTGTAAGGATTAGCGTTAATAATATATGTAGAAGCTATTAGAATAGTGTCTGGTGTATAATAAGCACGTTTGCTAGTTCTATTTGAATTCCAATGAAAATATATTATGGCTATGAAAATGGCATGAGACTTAACAAGTGGTATTCTTGATGCAGTCTTGCATCATTTGTGTGACTGAAGAGTGAAGAGGTCTCAGGTAAAGCAACACTATTTACATGATAATCACAGGATCATAGGACCTCCTTGTGCAACTAAGCACAGAATTCAAACTGCTCTGGTCAAGGGAAACGGGGATTTCGTCAGCCACTGCTGAGAAGGGGTGGGCGGGGAAACCAGGACTGGGACTCTCTACAATACTGGGCCAGAGAGATGTATACCATTCCAGCCTCCCCTCAACATGAGCCAGGATGCCACCTTAGAATCCTCCATATCACATGTTCCAGGCAGCACTGCCAACTTACCACGGTTGGCACTCAAGAGAAAACCTATCTGCCCTCCATGGACAAGCACTGCTAGCCCTGAGGTCTGGGATTCTCCAAGGGTACTGTTAGGGGGAGATGCAGAGAAGGAAGCTTCCATCGGAACAAGGCTACCTGTGGGAACGTGGTGTCTATCATCAGAGCTCTCCTAGGCAACAGCCCAATATAAGCAAGCCCCTCACTATATCTGTGATCCAAAACCAAACTTTCTAGATTTAGAGTGCCAAGATGTCATAGGAAATGTGAGTAAGTGATGTGCAGGAAGAGGGGCAACCATCAGCAGGGGTAAATAGCAACATTGAGAGTTTAAAACTTACCTTTATCACATGACTTCCAAAATAAAATCCTGCAAATATTTTACTTTTTCTTAAAATCGGCCTGGTAAAATGATTGAAATAATTTAGGAAAAGTGAATTTAGAGAAATAAAATTTAGTTGCACTAAAATTACTACTTTACCCTTTTTTTCTCCTGTAGATATTGATCCCATGCAAATTCTTGAAGAGGAACTATTATAGGATCTTCAAATTTGGATGGAAAATTACTCTTCAGACTCTAGGTTTCAAAATAGAACAATTAGTTTAGAGTGAATTCTTTTTTAAAGTAGTAATCATTTCCCCCCATTTTTATGGGGTCTCCAAGAAATTTTATACAATGCATGCCTAGGCTGCACAGTCTAGCTTAGATGCTCCCTGCCAGCCACCCAGGACCCCTGTGTTCACTTCCATTAGGTCACTTCCCAAACAAGGCTGGGGCTCTGTCTTATTTGTCTCTCTGAAGGCAAAGACTATGTCTCAGTTTTCCTATATTTCCATTGGCCTCAACATCTGTCACCTAGTGGATCATTCACACACAGCAACTGAATAAACAAAGGAACAAGTAAGTGAGTTTGTGCCAATAGTTTTGTGATCTGCCTGTTCTTTTAGGATCAGTTTTTCCTTAAATTAAACTCTTACTTCAGTGGATCCATGGATACTTTTAACTAAAATAAATAAATGTTACCGCTTTAATTCATACATGGAGAATGACCAAAAGGATACTGTTGTGGTTATTATACCTCTCGGGAAACAGAAGTAAAATAGTAAATATGTTTAGGTTTAGATATTGAGCGTGTTTTGATTTAATATATATTATCTATATGAATCAGAGACAATTCTTACTGGTTAATAATGCCTGTCAAAAATAAAACGTTTTGGTTCCTAATATGTCATTTCCCTCTTCCTAAAGCAAGAAAAGGTAGTTGAGGCAATAACAATTAGGCCTCATTTTTCTGAGTGGGTCTGAGTGGATGGGCCAACAGGGAAAAGTGACAGCTGGCTTCTCCCACTGTGGTCTAAAGAGGACATTGACCTGACACGTTTCATCAAGGGTAGATATTTCATGTGGGAAAGAGCCAGGATGTGAGGACATCTTGCCTTGGGACAAGGGATAGCAGAAGAGGGCAACAACAATCTCGTCATTTTCTTCTTAGATATACTGTCTCCAACCAACAGATGATATGTGCTTTTTTCTCAATTCCAGTGTCTGTGCTCAGTCTGAGGCAATTGTGCAGGATGACTGTTTCAAACTGAGGGACCACCTGGAATAACTAATAAGCCCAGTAGTTTTCAAATTAAGCATGTTAACCATATTTTAATAATTAAGCGTTAATTCTAGAATGGACTACATCCAAATTAGTATATATGTAATACTTACTCTTTACATATCTGAATCTTTGTCAGTTAATTAGGCATCTGGGATTACTCATAAATGATCACGTTGGGCACATTTTCATGGATCCTTTATTAAGGCAGAACTAACTAAATTTACATTGATGTTTTCATATTCAAATAGAGCTATGGTAGGCAAAAGCTTACAAAAAGAAAATTATCATTACGAATATAATAAAGACATTGTTTTCCTGACTTAGTGTGCTCTACAACAGAGAATGGCGAACTGTGGCCATCAGGCCAAATCAAAAAATCAAAATAAGATTAACATTTCATGTCATGTGAAATTATATGCAAGTCAAATTTCAGTGTGCATAATACAGTTTTATTGGAAAACTGCTATTCATTTACATACTGTCTATGGCTGCTTTTGCACCACAAGAGCTGAGTAATGGCCGCTGGAGAACCCAGAAGGCCTAGTAATTTAATATCTGGATTTTATACAAAAACATTGCCAATACCTTATCTACAGCGTGGCGCAGGCACAGAAAACATGTGCCTTCAGAAAAGGAGCTAAGAAAAACAAAGGGAAAAAAATCCCTCAAACACATGAAATACAACTTAGGCCATAAAACTATGCTGTCCCATCAGCCCAGCTAACTCAAACCCTTAATTTCTACTTGTTTTGATGATCCATATATGGTTTCCACAGACTTCTGCTGATCACTTACTCTCTTCATTTTGGTGTAAACTTTACCTATTTCACAAATTAGTTACTCTTTCCTGATTTGATATAGTCACAATCTTTTCTTTACCTCTGTGGACTTGGAATAGGCAAGATAGGAATTTAAGATTTCTTCTATTTGGGAACATTTTGGTCAAGAATCCGGCTGGGTACTTTGGGAGATACAAACATGAATAAAGTATTGTCCTAGAGTCTAGTGGGAAGGAGAGAAGCTGGGCATAATCTTAGCGCAGCATTTCTGGAGCAAACCCCAAAGATGTGCTGAATGCTTACATTTCAACATTTTTACATTTCCCCTACATTGGGATGTTAGGTGTGCTGCAACATTACCGACCTGACATTCTTCCAATTCAAGTGTTTTTCCTACCCTGGCGGGTTTGGCTCAGCGGTCAGAGCGGCGGCCTGGCCTGCGGACCAATGAGTCTCCGGTTGCATTCTGGTCAAGGGCACCGACCTCGGTTGCGGCTCAGCGACCCCGGTCCTGGTCAAGGTCCAGCGGGAGGCAACTAGTCCATGTCTCTGTCTCCCTCCGTCTCTCTCTCCTTTCTCCCTTTTTCCCTCCCTTCCACTCTGAAGATAAACGGAAAAATATCCTCGGATGAGTATTTTAAAAAAAATACATAAAATAAAGGATTTTAAACCTCTTGAGAGAATAGTTTCCAAAAATCAGTGGGAGGGGGTGTTTGAAAAAAAAATCAGCGAATTATATGGTAACTCTAAACATTTTTCAAGGATATTTTAAATCTTTAATTTCAATTAAAAATGAATGTGGAATAACATTATGTAGAGAGGAGGAATTACCTTTATTCCCAGCAAGGTTCTGAAGGCTCCTTCGCTCGGAAGGCCCTTTGAAGGTGGCCCTTCTCCAAGTGGAATGCTCGCCCCGAACCCACACTTTTCCCGACACGCTCAGACCCAACCAGACTGGACCCGCTCACCGGGACATTCCCGGGACATTCCCCTCCCGGAACGTCGGCCTCCTCCCACCCTCGCCACCTAGAGGCGCGAGGCGAGGAAGCGGGAAGCGCCTTCCGCACTGGTGGTTTCTTCGCCGTTACCTCAGCTGTGCTCTTCGCAATCTGAAAGCTGGAGCTTTTGAAGAGCCCCACCACCTTCACCTGCAACCGCTGCTCCGACTGGGGCGGCGCCGGCAAGCGGCACAGGTTCGCCATGGCGGCGCCCGCGCACTACTCGGAGCACAAACACTGCGTGTCGCCAGGGCAACCGCAAGGTCCCGCCCCCGCCGCTCGCAGAGAGGAGGGAGGCAAGGGGCGGGGCTAAGGGGCGGGGCTAAGGGGCGGGGCTAAGGGGCGGGGCTAAGGGGCGGGGCTAAGGGGCGGGGCTAAGGGGCGGGGCTAAGGGGCGGGGCTAAGGGCCGGGCGGGCGGCGGCGGTCGGATTCGTTCGCCTGTTGCTACTGAGCCGGGCAAGGGGCGAGCGCGGGAGCGAGGGCCGCCGAGGCCTGGGGCAGGTTTCGGGGAGAGAAACCGGAAGCCCTGCGCCCCTTGTGCCTCACCCCGGCTCGCCGCCCATCCGGGCCCCCTCGCGCCCGGCCCTCGCCTCCGGTCAGCTCCCAGGCTTCGCCGCAGATCGCCTTTCCGGCTTGGTGGGCAGCCACCTTGGGCTAGCGGGCCGGTTGTCCGGGTAATGCGGAAGTCGGTCTCGAGTGGCGAAGCCGGGCCCCGGGCCGGAGCTGCCGGGGCGTAGGAGCCACCGCCTTCCGGGGAGCGCGGGGGCGTGGCCGACCACCTGTGCGCACCGCCCCGCGAGGAGGCGTCGCCCGCCGGCGCGGGTCCCGACCGCGGCCGTCGCTGGGAAAGCCGAGCTGTCTTGTTCCCGCAGAGCGCCCCGCCATGAAGCCCAACTTCTCCCTGCGACTGAGGGTCTTTAACCTCAACTGCTGGTGAGTGCTCCCGCGGAGTGGGGCCTGGGGCCATCCTCACATCCGGGCCACGGCTCTACCCTGCCCTACAATCTCGGGGTGCTGGGAGAACTCGCACCTCCAAAACCCGTACCTGGCCCAGCCCCAGTGCTGTAGGAGTGCTGAGCTCCCCCATCAATCACCCCTCTGGCCCTTCTGTCTTTAGGGGCATTCCCTACCTGAGCAAGCACCGAGCAGACCGCATGAAGCGCCTGGGGGACTTTCTGAACATGGAGAGCTTCGACCTAGCCCTGCTGGAGGAGGTGGGCTGTATGGAACTGGTGTGGAACCCTGGCGGGGAGGAGGGGTGGCCGAGAGACGTGGGGAGCAGGAGGAGACTTCCCTCTGGGGGACGAGCCAGGCAAATATCCCCCCCCTCCCCCCCAGGTGTGGAGTGAGCAGGACTTCCAGTACCTGAGACAGAAGCTGTTGCCTACCTACCCCGCTGCACACTACTTCAGGAGGTGGGAGCCTACTGGCCTGGAAGCCTGTTCTCAGACCAGGGAGGCTCTTGGCCCTGCCAGCCCTGCCCCATCCTGCCTGCACCCTCCTCCCTTTCTCCCAGCATCCTTTTGTCTGGGTGTGGAAGCAGCACAAGTGGAACCAGAAAGATCTCAGCCTTGTCATCAGGTCACCCTATCATCCCACAAAGGCTGTGGCTTCACCCTGTGTTCTTGTTCTGGTCCCGGAAGGAGAGAGAAAAAAGTAGCTGATAAGTGCTGAGAGACAAGGGAAGGGAAGAGGAGTGGTTCTTTCTCTTCCTGCTTCTCTGGTTATTAATCAGGACTTATCTTTCAGTGGCATCATTGGTAGTGGCCTCTGTGTCTTCTCCAAACACCCAATCCAGGAATTCACCCAGCACATCTTCACCGTCAATGGCTACCCCTATATGGTATGCCTGACCTCTTCTGCCTCCCTTCCCCACCCCCCACTAACACGGTAAAGGGGCAGCCTTACTAGGCTGCAGGGGATGGGCAGAAAGAGGGGAGCAGTGCCCTGATTTCCTACCCCCTCCTGCCTGCAGATCCATCATGGTGACTGGTTCTGTGGGAAGGCTGTGGGGCTGCTGGTACTCCAGCTAAGTGGACTGGTGCTCAATGCCTATGTGACTCATGTGAGTGAAACTGACAGTTCTTAGGCCTGGGACAGGCAGCCTAGTCCTGGGAGGGAGAGATGGGACTCCTCTAGCTGGACTGCCTTGGGGTGAGGTGTGGGGGCAGGATCTCTGAAAGTCAGTAGGCAAGGTTCACCCATTGTTACCAAGAACCATGCCAAACGACAGACACAAGTTTAATTTAGATGGGACCCTTAGTCTCATCTACTGTAATGCCATCTGTCTTGCTTAGCTCCATGCAGAGTACAATCGACAGAAGGACATCTACCTAGCACACCGTGTGGCCCAAGCTTGGGAACTGGCCCATTTCATCCAGTGTGTGAGCCTGGGCTTGACAAGGGAAGTGGGATGGGGTTCAGGGACTGAGGGGTGGCCAGTGCCCCACTAACAGGGCAGAGCTGGCTAGGGAAAAATTCTTGCCTCACTGGTTTCTCTAGCCATACATCCAAGAAGGCTGATATGGTTCTATTGTGTGGGGACCTCAACTTGCACCCGAAGGACCTGGGTTACCGCCTGCTGAAGGAGTGGACAGGGCTACATGATGCCTACCTTGAGACACGGGACTTCAAGGTGAGGACCTGCCTGATTATTTCTCCACCTGAATGCCCAGCTTCTTTCCCTTCTTCCCCCACATCCTGGCATGAACAACTGTTCACCTAGGGCTCTGAAGAAGGCTGTACAATGGTACCTGGGAACTGCTACGTCAACCAGAAGGAGCTGGAGCGATTTCCCTGTGGTATCCGCATCGACTATGTGCTTTATAAGGTCAGGCCTCTCCTCACAACATGCCTTCACCCATTGTGTGTCTTCATCTCTTACCAACCTGTGCCGATCCTTTGTCCAGCAAGTCTAGTCTTAGTTCACTGATGACTGGAGAACGGAATAGCCATGAGCTGATTCTCTGGGAAGATATAAGTTTTTCTCTGGCTCTTACTTTTCCAAGGCGGTTTCTGGGTTGTACATCTCCTGCAAGACTCTCAAAACCACTACCGGCCAGGACCCTCACAGTGGCTCTCCCCTCTCTGATCATGAGGCCCTGATGGCTACTCTGTGTGTGAGACACAGCCCACCCCAGCACAACCCCAGCTCTACCCAAGGTGAGTCACCTCTACCCTTTTTCTCAGTCCCTCCCACATGTCAGTCCTTCCACTCTAACCCTCTCTTCTGCCCCACTGCCCTGCCTTGTTCTAGGACCAGCAGAGAGCTCACCATTGATCAGTGTGCTAAGGGAGACCTTGACAGAACTGAATCTGGCTGTGGCTCAAGCTTGTTGGTGGGCCACCTTTGCTGGCTACGGGATTGGTCTGGGGCTGCTTCTCTTGGCAGTGCTGTGTGTCCTGGCAGCTGGAGGAGGGTTCAGAGAAGCTGCCATACTGCTCTGGAGCCCCAGTGTAGGACTGACGCTGGGGGCAGGTGCAGTCTACATCTTCCACATGCAGGAGGCCAAGGGTTTATGTAAGGCTCGGGCTGAGCTCCAACATGTACTGGGAAGGACAAGGGAGGCCCAGGACCTGGGCCCAGAGTCTCAGCCAGCCTTGTTCCTGGGGCATCAGGAGGGGGACAGGGCTGAAGACCAATAAAGCTTGACACTTTGATGACTGCCTTTTTCCTTGTAGAAGCAGCTATTAGGGCCAGCGGTCACAGTGACTGTCACAATGTAGACCTGCAGGATCCTATACTCTTGCTTTCCCTACACACTCCCACCTCCCATCTGCAGCCAGAGCCTTGTGGGTGGCAAACAGTTTTATTGTAAACAGTGAAGGCCTCTCCCAGGCAGCCCAGATGAGCAGGGTGGCACTGTCCTGGGGTGGGGCGGTCTTGTAGGGAAGAAGGCAGGCAGTCCACCCTCTTCTAGCTTTGGGCCCCTGGCCCTGCTGCCAGCTCACTGAGCCTGTGCTGCTCTTGGAAGCGGATAAGGGCATCTCGCTGGTTCACCACATTCACCAGCTTCCTCAGGATCTGCTCCTCAGCCTGCCGATCAGCAGCTGTCTTTAGGACTTCTGAAGGGAGAACACAGAGCTTAGAGAACTGGGTAGGGAGGCGAGAGAGGCACAACCTAATCCTGGCCTATGTGATTTCTACAACCTGATCTTGGTTTCCTAATCTGTAAAGTGAGGTCTGTCAACACCAGTGGTTTTCTGGCATTGTTTGACAGCAGCACCATGTTCAGGAAATCCTGCACAAAAGCCCAAATGTGCAGGTCGGACTGAACTGAGGCTTGAAGCCCCTTCCTCTGGCTTCCTCCAGAATTGTCTCACAGGAACTGACTAGAGGACTGTGTTGCTGGTCAGCATCTGAGATCACGAGGCTCCAACAAACCATAACCCGTGATGTCTGCCTCTGCCCACATCCTGCATACCGTCCCGGTTCATGTAGCCTCGTAGCTCCTGGTCCAGCTGCAGTTGTTTCTCCTCCAGGCTCAGCTCCTGCACCCTGTGGAAGGCAGGATAGAAGGGGCACAGCTGCCCTTGGTGCCCAAGGACCTGACTGGGGCCTGGCTCACAAGCCACTGTCACCTCCCCGTGTCCCTTACGTGATCATGAGCTCAGCCTCCTCAGCCACTAGACTGTTTTTCTTCTCAACGAGGTGTAGCAGTTGTTCTAGCCATAGTGCCTTTTGCTCTTCTGGAGAACCTGATAAGAAGGAAGAGGGGGTGGGGTGGTCAGGAGGCCTCCAACCAGAGTCATAGGAGTCCTGAGAATGAGGAATGGAGCCTGCTGTGGGCCGGAGCCCAGTGGTCTGAGAGACCGCTGGGGGCTGAACACAATGCCAGGAGGCAAAGGTGTATCCTCGCCTATTCCCCCCCATCTTTACTCACTGCTCTGGTTCCTCAAGGCCAGCTCCAGCCTCATTCCCTGGGCCTCCAGCTCCCTCAGAGCAGCCTCAATCTCATTTAGACGCCGCTGGATGGCCTGTGGGGTACAAGAACAGAAACCCAGAAGTCTGGATTGTTCAAGAATGGAGCACTGGAGAAGCTCTGATCCCCAGCGTCACAACTCTGACCCCATCAGAACTTCGGGGAACCCCTAGATCTCACCTGGGCCTTGCAGAATCTCTTCATCTCCTCCTCCTTAGCACGGCGCAGCAGGGTCCGCCGCCATGTTGGGTACTTGTTCATAGTGCCTGAGTTCTTGGCGAAAGTCAGCAGAGCCTATGGCAGGGTCAGACCATTCAGGGACAGGGACTGGCCTCTTGGTAACGGGATGGGAAGCTTCTTGGAAGGGCCCAAAAAATCCTGGGTTGGAAATGGGGTACATGCTGGTAGAAAAGATGGAAGCTTAGAGATATGAGAGTCAGACTGAGTGAGAAGACCTTCTAAGAGCAGGGCTCAGAGGAGGGAACGAGCTGTAGGTTTCTTCTGTGTGTAGGGGGGTTGGGGCCCGTGGCGGGGGGCGTGGGGAAAGGAGTGAGCACAATCGGGGGCCAGGTTCCTTCCACTCACTTGTTCCATGTCTGAGTCCAAAGCCACATCTTCTTCCTCTTCCTCTTCCTCTTCACTGGAGGAGGGATTCCCTTCCTCCATCTCCATGGCCACAAGAACTGAGCAGAGGAGTAGACGTGGCCTGGAGTCCCCATAACCCCCCTTTCCATTTCCCAGCACTCCCCTTCAGGAATCCCAGTGACACCTGCCCATCCCCACCCTGGGTCAGCATGTCCAGGCAGAGGAGTTACCTTCGGGGCTCTGCTTTGGCATTCCCCATCCCACAAAGCTGCCCTCCAGGGCCTGGCGGGCCAAGACAGAGCAGCTGCGGGGGGGCTTGGGTGGAGGCTCCATTTCTGGGTCAGGGGTCAGATTAAGAGAGGACAATCGCTGGCGTTCTGGGCTGGAGAGGCGGATCAGCCGACGGGTGGGCTGGCTGGGGCTTGGGACAGGACTGGCCTCTTCCTGAGAGGCCATGGGATTTGAGGGGCTGGATGGCATGTTATTCTCACCTGGTGTGGGGAGATCCTAGAAAAACCATCATGTGGTCTGGTCAGTGACCTGCCCAGTGTGGGGTTGAGGCTGCCCCTTTAGACAAATGTGGATCCTGGAATTCATTCATTTACTGAACAGTGTCAGACAGTGTTCTAGATATTGGGCTACAGCAGTAACTGAAACAACACAGGCATCCCTACTTTCATGGAGCTACATTCTAGCAGAGAACATCTAGTTATCCTCGGCAAAGTCCGCTGGGCTTGGCAAGACCCCTTTCTTTGTTCCCATCCCCAGCATACACTTTCACAGCTTGTACCTGACTTTCAGGGCCTCTGGCTCTGCCATCCTCTTTGTGGCCTGGCTGGGGCAGGTGCTGGAGGCAGTAGAAATGTCCTGGGAAGGGTGGAGAGGGGCAAGAGACATCAGATGAAGGCAGCACAATGCCCAGAGACTCCGTTTATTGGGGAAGGTGGGGGCAACAGGACTCTGCATTTGAAGGTGAACTTCTGTTGGCTCATGGTTACTCAGAACCCCACATCTGGGGCTTTGGAGGAGACAGATACAAGCTCGGGAAGAAAGTGCCATCTTGAGTCTATTTTCACCCCATGTCCAGCACCCCAGTTCCCCTCCACCTTCGAACTCTCAAGCTGCCTGGGCGCACTCACCATCTTCTGGGTGCTGTTCGTAGCCACCTGGCCACAGTGCGGCCTCACAGACACGGCAGCAGAAGCAGCTCCGGTGGTAGAAACGGCCGTCAGCACACAGACGCTCCAGGATATAGAGGTGTTTCCCACAGAGTGCACACAGGTCCTCGCCACCAGCCTGACCAGACCCCACGCCACAGGGTCAGCTGGAAAGTTCCTCCCTCTCCCTGAAACCCGTCCCTGACCTCAAGCTTCTGCCCGCAGACAGTGCCCCCATTCTCACCTCCTGGTGTTGAGATGCGGGTGTCAGGGGTACACCAGATTCTGGGACAGCTGGCTCCTCAGTACTGGGGGTCACAGCCTCTACCTAAGGAGTTAAGTGTTCAGACCGGGAGACAGGCAGGATCAGCTGGGGGGTGCATGTATGCGGATGAATAAGAAGGGCTGGAAAGGAAGGGGAGCGAGACCAGGAAGGCAGACTGGTTGGGGGTGATTAAAGGACTGGACCTTCGGTGGGGAGCAAGATATAGGGGGACAGGACATGGGAAAGTGTGCTGGGATAGGGACCAGAACATGGGGCATGTATTTACCTCCAGGCGTAGCTTCTTGCCACCTGTGTCCTCCCCATTTTCCTGCAACAAGTCCTACACTCAGCATGGGACCCTGAGCCTCTAGTCCTGCCCTTCCCCAGTGTCCTCCCATCACCCCAGAGACCCCCACTGGGAATCCACTGCCCGGACTACCTGGGCCCGGGTCCGTTGCAGGGTCCTCTGCAGTTTGCCCAGGAATAGTACAGCACTGGAGGTCCCCGGAGAGCCTTGGCTGACAGGGCCTGCAGGAGAGCCAGGTGTCAGGGTAGATGGGGCCAATACTGTGCCAGCTACAGCCCCAAAGGATACCTCTCACAGGCTGTCCCTCAGAGGGCACCCTCCCCTCTCACACACACATACCTCCTCACCCCACACCTGTCCCACCCTCCAGGTCACCTGGGTTGTGGGGTGTGCCCTTGAAGGTACTGTGAAAGTGGCTGAGGTAGGCGATGAGGCCCAGTGGGTCACTTCCTGCCACCACTGCCTGTGCTGACAACACGGGTGTGATGCCCAGTTCGTGATCTGCCATCTTCAGCGCCCAACCAGTTGCTTCCAGAGCCCCCATCCCCTGCAGCTCTGAGGGTTCCCTGCAGAGTATCAGGCAGAGAAGCCAGTGGGAGACCAGAACCTGACCCCGTCACAGGGGGAGAGGGTGAGCAGAGAGCAGTGAGGGAGGGACGAGGGAGGGGCTGGGGGATGCAAAGGGAGAAGGCATGAAGGGTGCTTTTCTGTGCTTCACCACCACCACCCCATGACAGCCTTCTGGCCTTGGGGATCTTGATCACTCACAAAGCTGTCCCTACTGAATGCATTTGATTCTTACAAGATTCTCAGGCAGGTGGGCAGGCAGTCAGGCAGGAACACTAGCCCTAGGGAGGTGCAGTGATGGGCAGGCGGTGGCGCTGGGGCTCCACTGGGTATGCTAACTCCTATGCAGTGGTCTCCCCACCGTCCCGGACCGGAGCCTAATGTGCAACTCACAGTAGGCCAGGCCGCATCCGGTTCACCAGGGCACATAGAGCCAGCCCATCAGCCCAGGAGGAAGAAAGGTTGGTGACATGGACACCAGGATACCCAGCCGTCTGCTCCTGGCACCAGCGTAGCAGTTCTTCCTTTGTGACCACCGACCCTGAGAGAGGAGGCTGTGCTGTGCCCAAGCCCCCTGGCTCGCAGACAGCCCAGTTGCTGGGTCCGGGGTCTGTATGGGAGGTGGAGGCAGGGCCCCACCCCTACTAGGGCGCCAAACTAACTGTAAGCAGTACCTCCTTCATCCCAATTTTCTCATAAAAAAAAATCCTTTCTGGAATAAAGTGAGGGAATAAATAAGGTGAAATCACTGCTAGCCAAATGGATGGCAGCAGGCTATGAACTGAGGGGCAAGGGAGGCCCAGAGTCTGCAAAAAAATGTGGGTGTGGAGTCTGCAAGGCTGGAAGGGGTCAAGCAGAACAGCTGAGCACTCAGCTGCTGGGGCTGTGGCAGTGGCTGAAGTTCTGGAGTATTTCCACCTGCTGGCAACGGCTGCTGCCGGCTACACTGCCTCCCCTCTCCAGGCGCCCCTAACTCCCACACCAGCTGCTCCAGCACCCTGCTCCTGGCCTGCGGCCGCAGCAGTTCTGTAAGTGGGTGCTTGCGCCTCGCTCGTTGGTAAGCATTTTGGACGTGGCCCTGGAGGAAGGCCTGCTTACCGCTGTCAGGCTTTCTTGAATCCGTGCTGTCGCTCTTCCTCCGCACAGACTCCCTGGCCATCACGTCATACAGGTCTCGCACCTAAGGCGGCCCCTTTCAGGTCTTGAGGCAGGCTGACCACACACCCCCATCAGCCCATGGGGAGGGGCCTCCTGGGGTAGGGCTAACCCAGAGGGGCAGTGACTGGGCAGGTCTGGAGGGAGGGCCTGACCTGGGAAGTCTGGTGGAGGTTCCAGGGTTTCTGACCTGATTGGAAGACACAGCTCGGAGGTTCAAGTTGGGGTAGCGGGTGGCTGGGTCCAGCCCATACTGGGCCACATTGCGGTGCATGTTTTCTGGGGACGTCTGTGACAGGAGCTGGTACAGGCTCTCACTGGGGAAGAAGGTGAGGGGCAGGGACCCATCAGCACACACCCCTCAAGAACTGCCAGGCCTTTCTTTTATTATCTTTTGTCCATGCCCCCATCTATTCACCCAGCACCCCCCACCCTCCACCTACTCCTTGTCCTATAGCTAGCCCTTTCCCCCAAACCCCATAACTCAGGCCTCACCGCTCTGCCAACACTTCTAGGGGCTCAGCGCCCTCTGCCCACCGCTTCACCATCCAGGCAGCATCAAAGGCTGCCAAGAAGCCCCGGGCCACTCCAGTGCCCAGGGGCCAGAAAGGCTGCAGGGTCAGAAGAATAGAAAGAAGCTCAGAGTCCAACAGGAGTGTCCAGGTCCAGATGCCCCCAAGGTCATAGCAGAGGAGACCCCTCGCCACATCAAGCAGCCCTTAGCTCCCCACAACAGGCAAACCCTTTCCCCCTCCTTCCCAACCATGGAACCCCTGTGCCTCCTTAAAAGGAGTCCGTTTCTTCAAACACCAGAAAGCCCCTCCTCCTCCCTCAATCCGGGAACCCTGAGCCCCTCACCTCCACCAGGCAGTCCCCCACTAGCCCCAGCAGCAGGCGGACACCATGCTCCTCCTGCACACGAGCAGAGCTATCTGCCCGCATCATGCTTGTGAAGTCAAAAGCAGCGACGTCAGGCCGCCCACGGGCATCTCGGGCAAACTCCAGCTTCCCGAGCTTGCCATGGGTGGCGAAGTCAGCAGCTGCCCGGGCAAAGCGCTGCAGAGCCTCAGGCACTACATTGGCACTGCTCAGCAGCCGGTCGGTCTCTGGCCAGTCCTACAAGGCCAACAGATCAGAACCAGCGTCAACTGGGCAGCCCTGTCTCCTTGAGTGTAGAAGGTTCACATACCAAGGCCTCAAGAAGGGGCTTCCTCAGACCACACAGCTGGGCCTCGGATTTGAGCCTCTCAGGCTCAAGCCCCTTTCTCAGCACTCACCCGGCTGCTGGGGGTCCCAGGCCCCACCCTGCCCCTGAGGCCCAGAACCATTACTTGCTTTGGACAAGTCACTTAAACTAGAGCCTCAATCTTTCCATTTTGAGATAACACACTTAACTTCTCAAGGTACTCATGAGAACTCAGTGAAAAAAATGCACATAAAGCTCTCAACGCAGTACCTAGCACATAGTAGGTGTTCAACTAGTCCATTCAGCAAATACTGGGGGCTTACTACACACCAGGCACCATTCTAGGCACTGGGAATAATCAGCAAACAAAAGAGATGGAGGCAAAACCCCCGCCCTCACCCAGCTTACGTGCAGTCCTGTGGCTGGTAGAAAGTGTTCAGCCCAGAACGATTCGGGGGACCATAAGTCCCAGGGAAGAGGAGCTTGCTGATGCGGAGGAAAGCTCAGGGCAGAGGCAGGACAGGCTCTCTCCACACCAGAGGTGGAGGACGGAGCAGACTATGTCCAGGTCCGTCCTCCACCTCCCAGGGCCCACCGCCCAGCCCCTGCCTGCCCAGGCCTGGCCTCACCTGACGTAGCACCCCCAGACGCAGCAGGCACTGCTTCTTGGCTGTCATCACAAAGTAATGTGTGTCGTCCTTGTAGTATACAATGTTCTCCAGATCGATGCCTACGGGGCAGGGCCAGGGGCAGGAAATGTGTGTCTCCTCTTCATTATGTGTCACCTCTCCAAACACTAGCTATGTCTGATCTCTTAACCTACAGTGGGTGCCCCCCACTCAGGAGCCCATGAGTTCTGATGGCACAATAGACCATCTGTCCCTGGCCTAGGAAGCCTGAGAACACGGAACAAAGAGAGGAACTTGGGTGGGGCAGCAGCTGGGAGACCTGTACCACATGGTCACATGCTTTTGAATGACAGCCTGGCTTCTTGAACTAGAGTGTGCACACCGCAAGGGGTGTGGCAGTGCAAAGCCAAAATAAACAAAAAGCATCTTCTTGAAGTACCAATTTCATTTTGAATTTACATGGTTTATATATTAAAGGATATATTTAAAAGCACAAAGCAAACTCCCATTCATTTTGTGAGATTTCCAAGACCTGTGGCTGCTGAATCCCCAGGGGCACAGCTTCTTTGCTGTCAAGATTTCTTGGACTAAGCACAGGTCTGGGCAGGTGGGGGAGAGGCCTCAAGCCAGGCAGGGGGAGGGGAACCCCTATGATAGAGAGGGACTCTGACCTGTGGCTTTGAGCAGACTCTGGAAGAAGCTCTGGTTGTAGATCCTGGCCACACCGCTGATTTCGGGCACCTGTGTCTCTTCCACGGTGCGCCCATTCACAAAGTTAGCCGTGATGCCAATAGCCAGTTTGCCACGCATTTCTCGCACTGTAAAGCCTAAAGGTGTGGGCAGGTAGGCAGTGGCAGGAGGATGAGGGGTATAATAGCCTAGAAAGGCCCAAGAGAAACTGAAGATTATGACTTCTAAGAAAGGGATCACTCACCTTCAGGGACGAATTTACCTCCAGCTGCAGAGATGAGGACATCAAATTCATAGTTGGCCAGTTGGCAAGGGGCATTGGGCTGGAGCTGGGCACACCAGCCACTCCCTGAAGCAAAGGGTGTAAGAGGCACAAAAATATGGGAGTCTGAAGTGGTCCCTATATTTCCAGGACAAGCCAGTGAAATAATTTAATGTGTTAATGGACTTTACAATTTAGAAAGCAATGATACATTGTTAAATTACACCTTCATCTTCCCATGGAAAGTAGGGAAGGAAGGGGTATTACTCTCATTTGCTCAAAATGAGGCTGAGTGGTTTTGCACTGGGCCACACTATTAGAAAAGGAGACTCAGCTGACTCCTGACTCCCAACCCCACCCTTTTTCTTCCACAGGCCCAGATGTCCTTGGCAGATGGTGGTTCTCAGGAGCCTCGAAGTACTTACCCTTTTTGGGAGGGGGCTGGAGGCCAGTGAAAGTGACACCCCAGTGAATTTCCACCCCCAGCAGTAATGCCACTTTCAACAAAAGCAGTTGAAGCTGCCGGATGCCTGGAAGGTAGAGGACATTAGGAACAGGAACCCATGACTGCAGAGCTTCCCCAAGTACCAGTGTGTGCCTGGTCAGAGCTGGAAGTCTCAGAGATCACTCCATCCAGCTGCTCATGTTACAGATAAAGGACCTGAGTCCTAAAGGTCACCCAGATTAATTGAATCTTATCTACTCTGCCTCTTGGCTGGCCCAGCAGCCCCCTACTGGCCTGTCTCTAGACCCAGGCTCACAGCCCCTCCAGGCCACCAGGTGTTACTCACTGATGTGGTCCAGGGTGCCTGTGCAGAAACGCCCATAGAACTTCTTGGCACCGAGTGCCCGAAGGTCATGGATGGTGAAGGGCCAGAGGTGGAGCACATTGTGGCGAGAGAACTTGGTGCGCTTTTCTACCAGGACCACACGGGCCCCCAGCAGTGCCAGCTCCACTGCAGCCCGAAGACCACAAGGTCCAGCACCCACCACCAGGCACTATGAACACACAAGACAGTGTGGGCATGGCATCCCATCTCCCTCCTCTGACTTCCTCCACTCTCCAAGCCCATCCCAGGCACTGTGTATTCACCTTCGTGTTGGCGCAGGCTTGGCCCTGCTGGTAGACAGGCTGGCCTGCTCGCTTGTCCAGCTTGGCCCACAGTGACTTGGCACTCCAGTAGTTGAGCTGGGCCTTAATCTTGTGGTACTGGGGCAGCCCCCCACCAGGCTCCAGCTCCAGGGCCTGGCAGAGCCCCTGGAAGCTGCTCAGCACATTCTGACACAGCTGGGCCTGCAGGAAGCTCTCAAAATGGGCATGTGCTGGGTTGGTGGTCGTGGGTGAGGCCATGGAGGCCCCTGGGTCTCTCAAGGGAGGCAGCAGCTGGGCAGAAGCACGTGGCTGTTGGAGAGGAGAGAAGGGAAGGAGGCTGGAGAAAAAGGGAAAGGAAAAGGAAGGGGAGGAGAAGGCAGTTGTTGTCCCCAGGAGCTCTGGGTCCACCCGATTGGCTCTGCTCCTCTCTCCCAGCCCATTTCCAATCTGTTCCGGAGACAGCTGCTATTCCTTCTAAGTGAAGTCGACCAAATTTGGGAATGAAAAATCAGCAGTCCTGGGCACAGAGGGCATGCAAGAAGTGAGCGAGCCACCAGCTCAGCCTTACTGACAGGGATCTCCAAGCCCTGCTCCAGCTCTGGAGCCCACAAGGCAGAAAGCAGGGCGTGGGGCAATTTCTCAGACTGGAAAGGGCATGTTAGTCAGGAGCGATTTCCTTGTGGTGCAGACAGGGACAGACCAAATACCCGCAACCCCAGCTGCTGGGCACACATACTCCTCCATCTCAACCCACGGCCTCCCCGCACCAGGTGACTCTCGACGGACTCAGTGCCACGCGGGTGTGGGGTGTGTCTTAACCAGGGGCAAAGTTTTTCTCCTTAGTACTCCTGAGCCGGTCTGTAACTGTAAAGGTTCCATTTCCCACAACTCAAACGACCTCAACAAACAGCTGGAGGATGTTACACACAACGACTGACTGGGTGAGAGAGAACTGGGTCTGTTTCTGACTCACTGTGGTCAAAAACACTTCCCCTGTGAGACTTGCCTTCTCCAGTCGGCCTCAAAGGCAGTGGGGGGCGACAGCCGCCTGGTTCGCCCCTCCCACCTTCCTCCCACCCCCCTGCAAGCCCCGTCCCATGCCCTGTGGGCTGCGGCGCGCTCTCCCAGGAATTTCCCGAGACAAGGCTTCTTTGTCCCTGTCTCCCTCGCTCGGGCCCCCACGCAAACTGACGGGTGCCGAGGGATCTTTCTCACGCTAGGATAAGACGGAGAGGAGTCAGAGGGTACGGAGGATGGGGTTGCCGCCGAGAAAGTTAGGAAAGGTGCGTGGCATCGATGGGCGCAGGTCCCTGGGGCAGATACCCCCACCCCCTCGGCCGCCCCACGGGTCCCAGCGGAGACCAGCGGGCCAGGCCGAGGCAGGGGAAGGCGACCAAAGCTGTCTGCTGCAGATCCTCTGAACCAGGGCCGACGGAACGCTGGGGAGGGGAAAGGTCTCTTGGGGGTGGGGGAGAGGAAGGCAGACGGGAGAGAGAGTGGCAAACCTGCCTGGAAACGCCAGGACTAGGGATGTGCGAGGGCTGGAGCGGTCTGCAAGGATGGAGAGGGGCTGGACCACTGGCGGCGGGGCTGGGGTGGGATACTCACTGCGGACGGGGAAGTCTGGAGAGGGGCTGAGCGGGGCGGGGGCAAGGGAAGGCGGTGGGACCGATCAGGAGGGGCTTCCGAGCGCCCAGGGTCGCATGTCCCCAGAAGCGCACCCCCACGTCACATCGCCGCCCCACCCGGGCAGGGGGAGCACAGCTGGCTCAGCTGGACAACTTACCGGGCGGCTCCGGAGCCGGGAGGGCCGGCTTCCTGCTGCTCTGGTGGGAGGGCGGGGGCGGAGGAACAGGAGGCGGAGGAGGTGCGGAGAGAGCTGGGCGGCGGGCGGCGAGGGGTCCGCCCCGCCGGGAGTCCTTCTGGGTGCTCGGCCGGCGGAGGCTTTATCAGCGCTTCCTTGGCATCTCACTACCCCGCGATCCCCCGCTTGGGGCAGCCCGGAGCCCGCCCAGGGCTGCTGGGTGGTGCCGGAAGGCGTGGCAGCCTACGTGCCGGGTTCCGCTTGTGGGCCGCAGACCCGGGCCCATCCTGGCGGGGGCCGAGGAGCCCGAGATCCGGGCTTTATGCCGGTGCCTGCGCCCGCAGAGCTAGCCCTTCCCGGGCGGGCGAGGCCATCCATCTGCGCGGGACCCACTTCGAGAGCCGTCTCCCGGCGCTGGGCGGAGAGAGCTCTCCGGCTGGGCTAGAAGTTTGTCGAAGCTGGCGGGTCCCTAGGTGGCGCCGAAAAGTCTACGTTGTTTTCACTCTCTTACCAGGAGATCCTCGGCCCCACAATGTGGGCGCCCCACATTGGAGTAAAGCTCGCGGTCCCCCTCCTCTGCGATAAGTCGGCCCCTAGACCCGCCTGAGGGCAATGGGCACCCATTAAGCCCTGGGAGCTCCGAAAGCTGCAGCTTCCACAGCGGCTCGCAAAGTGGGAGGGCAAAGAGGGTCTTGGGAGCGGGGGTGTGATGGTGATGTTAGATCACTACGGAGAAAGGGGCAAATGGAAGGGATGTTTGGGAGAGAGACTAGATTTCCAATATTCAAGAATGTCTTGGAGTGAGGACCCCTAGAACTGTCAGTGCTGAAAAGGGCTCGAAAGACCTTCAGGACAAAGAGACAGCCTGAATGTAAAGGCACTCCTTCAATGTCATTCAACTAGTTCACAGGAATAAAACATCACTTCTCATTTATTGAGCGTCTACTATGAGCATTCCCCTCATCTCAGTCTTCACAACAATCCCATTTTATGGAAAAGGAAACAGGTTCACAGAGGTTCTGTGACCTGCAACAATTTACACGCAAGTGGCGGAGCTGGTTTGGGGCCCAGGTGTTCTGGACTTGACTACACCAGTGGTGATGAAATGTGACAGATGAAAGGCTGGCATTATAAGAAGCTGTCTCTTATTTAGAGCAAGTGACACTGTTACACTAACAACACCAACAAAACAGGTGAATGGGAGGGTTGCTCTTCTTGAGATCTAGGGATCAGAAAGAGCTAGGTGCCTTTCTGTTTATTCTCACTTCATATTCCGCCTGGAAACCCTCTGAGACCCAGTAAGATTTGAATACTCACTACTCTCAGCTTGAGTTTTGAAGCCAGCAGGAGATGGGCAGCAAGGAAAAACACCTGCTCTGCCAGGAGAGGAGGGAATTCAGCCAGGTCATGCTCAGGAAACTAGGGCAGCCTCCCAACTGGGCCTATCCTGGCTCTTGACTGTGACTTGTCATTTGGCTTGAAGTGAATGTGCCAAATATCTATCAGACACACCCATATTTAAGTTAATATTCTAAGCAGCATTCTAAAGCCACTATAAACACATTTCCCTTTCATTAGTGGATGATAACAACCAGCTGCTTGGACTTTGCACATTTGCAAAAGCCCAGCAGGGTCTGGACCTTGACTCCAGTCAAACTGGGTGGGATTATGTGGCTCTTTGAATGACAAATGCTAAAATTTGTCTTTAAAAAAAAAGATCACAGAACAATATGACTTGATCAATACTGAAAAACTGCTGATTTGAAGTTTCACTTTAAGTTAATTAAAGATATACACAGCAGCATAAAGTAATGAGGAATACATTAGAATCTTGAGTCATGATCCCTATGATATGTATTACATATAGAACTAAAAATACTGGCACAATCAGTCACATCATCCAGTTCATATTATTACATCAAATAAGTGGCTGATACATGAAAAGTCAGTTTTAAAAGAATCCCATTCTAATGTTTTTGCAAATAATATTGTTGGCAATGGCCTAGGTTAAAAACTTGAGCTATTCAATTAATATTTGACAAAGGTGGCAAGAGCATACAGTGGAGTCAAGACAGTCTCTTCAATAAATAGTGTTGGGAAAATTGAACAGCTACTTGCAAAAAAATGAAGCTGGACCACCAGCTTACACTATACACGAGAATGAACTCAAAATGTATAAAAGACAAATGTGACTCGTGAATCCATAAAAATTTTAGAAGAAAATGCAGGCAACAAAATTTCAGACATCATATGCAGCAGAATTTCCACTGATACAACACCAAAGGCAAGAGAAACAAAGGAAAAAAATGAACATATGGGACTATATCAAACTAAAAAGCTTCTGTACAGCAAAAGAAGCAACCATCAAAGTGGAAAGGGAACCCACTGTATGGGAAAGCATAATCACCAATGAAGCATCAGATAAGGGGTTAATTTCCAATATATATAGAGTGCTCATACAACCAGACAAAAGGAAGACAAAGAACCCAATTAAAAAATGGGCAGAGGACCTAAATAGACACCTCTCCAAAAAGGACATACAAATGGCCAAGAGACATATGAAGAAATGCTCAACGTCACTAATCATCAGAGAGATGCAAATTAAAACAACTATGAGGTATCACCTTACACCTGTCAGAATGGCCTGCATCAACAAATCATCAAACAACAAGTGTTGGAGAGGGTGTGGAGAAAAGGGGACTCTAGTACACTGCTGGTGGGAATGCAGACTGGTGCAGCCACTGGGGAAAACACTATGGTGTTACCTCAAAAAGTTAAAGCCCTGGCCGGTTTGGTTCAGTGGTTAGAGTGTCGGCCTGCGGTCCTGAGAGACCCGGGTTCAGTTCCCGCTAAGGGCGCATGCCTCGGTTGCAGTTTGTCCCCGGCCCTGGTCGGTTGTGTGGGTGGCAGCCACTCGATGTGTTCCTTTCACATTGATGTTTCTCTCTCTCTCTCTGTTCCTCTCTCTCCCTCCCACTCTACCTGAACAAAAAATGGAAAAATGTCCTCGGGTGAGGATAAAAAAAAAAAAAGAATAAAAAAAAAAAAAAAAGTTAAAAATTGAATTGCCATTTGATCCAGTGATTCCACTTCTAGGAATATACCCTAAGAAGCCTGAAACACCAATCAGAAAGAATATATGTACCCCTATGTTCATAGCAGCACTATTCACAATTGCTAAGATCTGGAAACAACCCAAGTGTCTATCAGTAGATGAATGGATAAAAAAAGCTGTGGTACATGTACACAATGGAATACTATGCAGCTGTAAGAAAGAAATATCTCTCATCCTTTGAGATGGCATGGAAGGACCTGGAGAGTATTATGCTAAGCGAAACAAGCCAAGCAGAGAAAGACAAATATCACATGATCTCACTTATTTGTGGAATATAATGAACTAAACAAACTGCTGAACAAAATTAACCCAGAGAGGTGGGGTACAGACTGACAAGCCTCAGAGGAGGTAGGTTTGGGGGGGAGAGATAAACCACAGAAATTATACGCATGTATGCATGACCAATAGACATAGACAACAAAGCTGGGGGTGCGGTGGGGGGATGGGGAGGAGGGTGTCAATGGGGCAAAAAGGAGAAACATCTGTAACAAAAACAAATTAATAAGAAATTTTAAAAAAACAAAAACTTGAGCTATTAAGACAGGATCCATTTTTTCTAACTCACATCATATTCTGTCTTCCTTCAATGCTATCCTTCCTTACCACACCTCCCAACCTTTCATTTCCTGAGCCTGGAGCCAGAAATTAGGTCTCTAGCCATGCAGGTTGCATGTCTAAGACACCCTGCACCTGTAGGTCAGTGAGTTCAAACAATACAGCCCTGGTCTTGGCCTGCGAGCCGCGGACCAGACAGACACAGCTCCTGATGTAAAAGTAGTTATGAACTGAGCCAGATGTGTAGAGTGCTGTTAACAGACAGGGTAGCCTGATTAAGTTTAGGGGGTCAAGGAGGGCCCCCCTGAGGCAATGACCATTTACACTGAATTCTGTCAGATGAACAGATATTAGTCAGAGAGTATGGGCAGAAACTGAGAAAATGTCTGCTTCAAAGTCCTAAAGCAGGAAATTGGGTGTGTGTGTGGGCCGATAGCAAGGGAAGCCAGGGTGGCTAGAAGTTAGAATGGGAAAGGGACCCAAGAAGAAACTGAATTGAGGATTTTATTAAGTGCAATGGGAAACTGCAGAAGGATTTTAAACAGAGCAGAGACATGATCATATTAGCCAAGATAACACAATATTTAATCATTACTTTAATGCTAAGGGCACAATGGTGAGCCCAAATTACCACTTCCAGTGGAGAAGGGGATGGGGGAGGGGTAGAAAGGGTCAGGCCTTGGCAGGAGTCCAGGTAAGAGGAGGTGGTGCAGCAGTGGGGATGGCAGAACTGGATGGATTCAAATGAGTGACGTAATTTGGTGATGGATTGGGATGGGGCTGGGGGATAGGGGCTGAGGAGGGTTCTATCAAGAATGACTCCCAGCTTTCTTTCTTGGGTGATAAGATGAATAAATCATAACAAATTTGAGTCCCTCATCCTTTCCCTCTTCCCTGCAATCTTCTCTCTATGCTGCTTTTTACTCAGGTGCCTTCCCCAGAAGTCCAAGCATAATGATTGCAGAGTCCAAGGTAATACAAGGGCTTCTACCTTAAAGGCTTCAAAGATGAAAAATACAGATAGGTTCAGGATCAGTTTAAATACTTTTCTGTGTTTTTGTCATGAGAGTGCTTTCACACATCAAACACTATAAACCAAGAACCAAACTATTATTTTGGAAAAATCTTCAAATCTGTATTTAAAAGAATCTAATAGTATGGATTTGAAGAATACAAAATAAATAATAAATCCATGCTCTAAGACCAAGAAAGTTCCCTGACCTGTTGCTCAAATTTTTCTCCTTTTACACATCACATTGGATTTAGCAGTACTTTTCACTTAAAAAAAAAAAAAAAAAAAATCTCTAGTGAATGTTACCTAAATGTGTTCAAGTTCCTAGATTTTGTATTTAAAAATGTGATTGAATGAGCTTTAGCTTAAAAGCTCTCCTAATGTAAGTTTTAAAAGTGAGATTATACCTATATCTATACATCTATATATATCAGTCAACTAAAGCGTTTGTTGCTTGTATTACATGTAAAGAATGTGAAAGCAAGATAACTATCAGTGACAGCCCTGCTTCTTTTGGTGGCAATTCCTTTAAAAATCTTTCTTGTTGCAAGTATTACAGATGTCCCTCACTCCCCCTGCACTGACCCCCTTCCACCCCGCCCCTGACCTTCACCACACTGTTGTATCCATTGGTTTGCAGATATGCATATAAGTTCTTTCATTTCTTTCTTTCCAATCCCTGAGCCCCCTTCCCTCTGAGGTTTGCCGGTCTGTTTCCTACTTCCATGTCTCTGGATCTATTTTGTCAGCCTATTTTGTTCATTAGATTTTCCATGTAAGTGAGATCATGTGATACTTATCTTTCTCTGACTGGCTTATTTCACTTAGCATCATACTCTCCAGGTCCCTCCATGTCATCTCAAAGGATGAGAGATCTTCCTTTCTTACAGCTGCATAGTATTCCACTGTGTAAATGTACCACAGCTTTTTTATCCACTCATCTATTGATGGACACTTGGGTTGTTACCAGATCATGGCTATTGTAAAATAGTGCTGCTATGAAAACAGGGATGCATATTTCTTTCTGATTGGTGTTTCAAGCTTCTTAGAATATATTCCTAGAAGTGGAATCACTGGGTCAAATTCCTTGATACCTGCTGTTTACAAAAGGATGGCAAGGCAGATTTTTTAAAAAAGGTTATTCCTGAAAGCCTATTTCCAAAAGTAAGACATAGCTTCAATTCTTAAAAATTTAGGCTTATTTTAGTTTGGAAACTGATGATGAAAATTTACCTCAATCAGGGCAGGAAACATTAAAAATCTGCCCTAAATGTAAAATATCCTTAGAAGTTTGACAAAACAGCTCACTTAGAGAGGTTCAAGTTGGTTAAGACATTTTCACTTTAGTAGTCATTTTTGTCTGATTGATAAGTTTTGATTAAGCTTTAAATCAATGGCAAAATACTAATATATTATTCATGTGGTAGTTATTGTGTTGTGTAGACTATATAACTTTTACTATTGTTTTATATAAGTTTGATTATATGCTAACATTTCGACACAAACCCTAAATTTTAGTCAAAAAGACTCTATTACATTAAGCAGATTATATGTAGAGAGAAATGCAGCTGAAAGTTCCCAGAAGACTGGTGATGACAAGCAGCGGTGCGATCTCCCAGCCCTGTGCCCGTTCTGGCTCTGCCACTCACTGTGCCCTTGGGCAGTGGACCTCATCTGTTTGGGCTTCAGTGTTCTCATCTGTAAAATCGTCATAATTTTACTTACCTCATAGGAATGTCATGAAGATTAAGTAAAATAAGATGTGCTTCAAACAGGTGTGTCCCAGACACTCTTTCCCAACACCTTCCAGATGCCAGTGGTTATGGGCTGAATTGTGTCCCCCATAAATTCAATGATGTCCTAATCCCTAGTACCACAGAATGTGACTGTATTTGGAGATAGGGCCTCTAAAAAAGTAATTAAGTTAAAATGTGGTCATTAGGGTGGGCCTTAATCCAACATGACTTCTATCCTTACAAGATTAAGACAAACACACACACAGAGACCACGTGAAGGCAGAGAAGAATGGATGGCCAGGACGCCTCAGAAGCCAATCCTGCCAACACCTTCATCTGGGACTCTTAGCCTCCAGAATTGTGAGAAATAAATTTTTTTTTTTAATCCTCACCAGAGGACACTTTTGCATTTATCTTCAGATAGAGCGGGAAGGAGAGAGGAAGGAAGAGAGAGAAATATCAATGTGAGAGAGACAAATTGAGTGGCCGCTACCCACACGACCCCAACCGGGGCCGGGGACAAACTGCAACCGAGGTACATGCCCCTAGTGGGAACCGAACCCGGGACTCTCCATGGGCGGACGCTCTAACTGCTGAGCCAAACCGGCCAGGGCTAAATTTATTTTTTTAAGGCACCCAGTCTGTAGTACTTGTTTTTGTTGCCCTAGCAAGCTAATATGCCAGTCATGGCCAGGGTGACTGGAGTCCTCTAACTGGCAAGGTACTGTATAAAGCCTACTCGTTGTGCACCATGACATGGAAGAAATTTGAGAAGCACTGAGATAAGAGTTAGACCTAATGCAGCTGGCTTTGCTCCCGGCCTATAGTAAAGACTCAATGAATGAGGCAAATTCACCTTTGAAAGTGACAAGGTCATTTCAGTAGTCCAAAAGCATAATATTCTTCTATTTCCTAAGAAATACAATTTGTATGTCCGCACTTAAGACAGTTTTTAAAATTGTACAAGTTTTAGTAAAAATGAGTTGTGAAACAATGAACTAGCAATTTCTCAGGACACAACAAAAATGTTTTTATGTACATGACATTACCGCTGCGTACAGTCATTGAACTTTAAAATACTAGATTTTGCTCTGGCCCTTAGCTCATTTGGTTGGAGCATCATCCCGTACACCAAAAGGTTGCAGGTTTAATCCTAGTTGGGGTGTGACAGGAGGCAATGTTTCTCTCTCACATCAATGTTTCTCTCTTTGTCTCTCTCCATTACCCGCTCTCCAAAATCAATAATAAAAAAACATACCCTAGGGTGAGGATTAAAAAAATATTCTGAATTTCATTTAAAGGGACATAATGTATATTTGGGACACAGAAGAGAGCCTAGATTTATAGTGCTATAATTTTCTCATTTCCTTTTCACAGCTGGTCAAATAACCCAGAACTCTACCAGAATTCTTTTTTTATGACTGAGACTGCATCTCTAGTTAGAAACAGGTTGGCCTGTGCTGTACAAGACAGAGCCCCTAGCCACGTGTGACTACTGAGAACTCACAATGTAGCGAGTGTGACCATGGAACTGGGTTTGAATTTTAATTAAAAGAACTCGAGTTCTTTTCGATATTTTGTTCAAATAGAGTGGGAGGGAGAGAGAGAGAGAGAGAAACATCGATGTGAAAGGGACACATCGAGTGGTAGCCACCCGCACGACCCAACCAGGGCCGGGGACAAACTGCAACCGAGGTACGTGCCCTTAGAGGGAACCGAACCTGGGTCTCTCTGGACCGCAGGCCGACGCTCTAACAGCTGAGCCAAACCGGCCAGGGATAATTAAAAGAACTGATACTCATTTCAGTTACTGAACAAAAGGTACATCTACAACTACTTGTATATAGTTTCAACTGTAAATTGCATAAACTCTAAATACAGATCAAGCATGTCCAATGAACATTAACATCCAAAATAAGAGTCAGTAAGTATACAATACACACTGAATTCTGAAGACTTAATACACAAAAAAAGATGTAAAATATCTTATTAACCCATTTTTATATTGATTACATGTTGAAATGATACTATTTGGCAAATGTTGGATTAAATAAACTATTTTATTAAACTTAATTTCCCCTTTTTGTTTTAATTATGGCCACTAGGAATTTAAAATTACATATGTGGTTCACATTAAATTTCTCTTAGCGCAGAGGTAGACTGTCATAAAGCTAGTTAAAAGTGACTTAAAAATAGTCATATGACTATATTTCCTGAATAATTATCCAGCTATCTAGAGTGAGTAGCTAAAAATTCATTTACTTGAATACTATTTATATCCTGGAGAAAATGTGGGCCAGTAGGCTTTCAAAAGCTGGGAAAAGCTTTCCATTTTAAGAAACTAGTTTAAATGACTAAGGTGAAAACCTAAAATAATACATAAGGCATAAATGAATTTGAAAAATTATACTTTTGCTCTAATCAGGTCTGATTTAGCATTACTTTGGTTGATACATATAAGAGAAATCATTTTGGAAATTTTGTGAATTATGTACATTAAAACATATTTTGGCTAATATGTTAGAAAAATGCTTTCATTTTCTCTTGAACTTAAACAATTCTCTATTACTTTAACCTCCAAAGTTAATTTGATTTAGGTGGAAATCAAAGATGTCTAAGACAAGAAAACTAGTAACTGATGTGATGATCCTGTTAATTTTAGGGTAGATCACCCCTACTCTCCACCAGCATTAATTTACATATACCACTGCTCACCTTCTTTTCTCAAAAATTCTCTGCTAGTTTACTTCAGAGAAAGCAAAGTATTCAATAAAATAAAATATGCTGGACTGGAAAAACCTAACCCAAACATAACTTAATCTTTTGACAATGATCTAAAAATCATACAATAATTATAAATACATGCTGGCTAACTAATTCTCTGAGGCTCAAAGATTTTAAGATTGTAAGAAAATATTTACTTTAAAAAATAATGTGTCCATTTTATGGGATTTAACATACTTTGCCATAAAAATAGCTTATAGGTTCCCATCTCCAGAAAGTTATTAGACATAACATACAGATCAACATCTTTGGAGGTCAATTAGAATTCAGTATATTCAACACAAATTACACTGAATAGAATTTTTATTCCAGGACAATTAAGAAAGCTCTAACTTCATCATGAAGATCAAATATTATTGCTGGTCTGGGAGTCTGACTTGTCTTGTTGAGGCAATTGTGTTGCCTATGAGAAATAAAGAAGTGGAACCAACCATTCTACCCAATTCAACATGTGACTTCCTTTGTCCTAAAAAATAAAAACTATAGCCCAGCTGGTGTGGCTCAGTGGATTGAGTGTTGTCCCATGGACCGAGAGGTCCCAGTTCAATTTCTGGTCAGGGCACACGCCCGGGTTGCAGGCTTGATCCTCAGTGGGGGACATGCAGGAGGCAGACGATCAATGTTTCTCTCTCACATCAATGTTTCTTTCTCTCTCCCTTCCTCTCTCTAAAAATCGATAAAAATATATTTAAAACAAAACGAAACAAACTATAACTGGAAAGGTCAGCAAGACCGTAACCTATTGCTGTGAACATATAGTACTTATGGAAAATTTAAACCAATACCCCCAAAGAAAAATTACCCAAGTCTTTTTGAGATGCAGTAGATGAAATGAAAACCATTTATCAATAGTGAAATGCTTAATCCCTTTCAGTACTATATAGGGGACATAATGCACACATCTTGCTGCCTGGAAGGAAACATTATGACTATCAGCTAGCTAGCACAATTCCGTAAGGATCTGTGAGTGAGGTTTCAGGAAGCCTGACTTCAAGCACACAATCCAGTTACAGCTGGCTGATGGAGAAGAGACCAGTAGAGCAGTCAAACGTGTTTGCAGGTCAGCTCTGCTCCTGGCTCATCGGTGTGGGCTGCGGCACATGGTGGCTGGGTGGCGGCGGAGCAGACTGCGGTGTCAGCTGCAGGTGCTGAGCTGGATGTGCAGCACTTGCTAAACGGAGCTCCCTCGTTTGCTCTTGATGGGCGTGCAGATGCTCCAAGGTTTCCTTGGAAAGTGCAATAACGTGCACAGGCTCGCTCTGTGAGGGTTCCATCTGGCTTTCAATCACATTGAGGCTCTGAATGTGTTCTGTTTGCTCCTGTTGAGCTGAGAGAATTAAATTCTGCAGTTGTTCTGGCTGCTGTGTGAGCAGCGTGAGATTAGCAGCCTGGTCTGCAGTCATGTTCTGGGAACTCTCTGCAGCAACGATGCTGATTCCTTGACTAGGACCAGGCATGAAATTGATATTATGTACAGAATCGGTTACAAGAAGCTGTATTTCCTGCTCTCCGGAGGTAGAGAGTTGATAAGGCTGCAGCTGAAGAATGTTCCTGACCTCTTCAGTATTATTACTGCCAGAAATGCTGCTGGCATCTGCTGCATGTTTCTCTTTGCTATGGATTTTCAAGTGAGCCTTCAAGTTGTCTAAGCGAGCAAACTGTAAGTTACACTCGGGGCAGGAGAAAGGCTTTTTGCCTGTGTGTAGAATGCAGTGTCTCCTCTTGGCACTGGAGTCGGAGAAGGATTTGCCACATATGCCACAGGAGTATGGCTTCTCTCCTCTATAAGGAAACACATGTTTTATATTAAAACAGAAAGATCTATGTATTACTTCCTGATTACTTAGGGAGAAGCGGTCAAGAATAGAGGAAACTTAAATCATGTGTTGTCCTACTCAGATGAGGACTTGGAGCAACTCGTAACTTCCATGGGCTTCAGTTTCTAATCTTATAAAAAAAGGTGTGGGTGGTGTCTGAGGAAGGGTGGTGAATGAAGTTGGGCTAGATGCAATACAATTTTATGATTCCATAGTATTTACTTCAGATAAAAAAGTAAATATATATTACACATATAGTTCCTTGGTTTTGTTCTAGTTCTCATAGACAATTTTTTTGCTCTAATGGACAAATAAGCATATACAACTGATTTTAACATTAAAATGAGTAGCCCCTAGTTGTCTGTGATGCTGTTAGAAGATCTATTAAATCCAATCTAGAAGTTAAGTTTTGTGAACAAAAATATTCACTCATAAAATATTAAATTTAATATTACTTTGATTGAAGATTTAAGCATTGGACCAGCTCCCAGATCAAATAAAAAATTCAAGAAATGAAATCAATAGTGCAAATTTTGCTGGCCAGCATCAGTTTTCCTGATTTTGCCTAAGTGAGGAAATTCTTTATTGAAAAGATTTTACAAGTCATGTGTGTGTGTGTGTGTGTGTGTGTGTGTGTGTTAATCTTCATCCAAGGATATTTTTCTATTGATTTTAGATGAGAGTGGAAGGGAGGGAGAGGGAGAAAGAGAGCAAAAGAGAAACATCCATGTGAGATGATACATCGACTGGTTGTTTCCTGCATGACCCTAAGGCGGGGGACTGAACCTGAAACCCTGATGTATGCCCTTGACCGGGAATCAAACCCAAGACCCTTCCTTCAGTAGGCAGGCTGATGCTCTAACTACTGAGCCCAAACGATCAGGTCTATGGAAAAGATTTTTTTTTTTTAATCCTCACCCAAGGGCATTTTTTTGATATTTTGTTCAGATAGAGTGGGAGGGAGAGAGAGAGAGAGAAACATTGATGTGAAAGGGACACATCGAGTGGTCGCCACCCGCACGACCCAACCAGGGCAGGGGACAAACTGCAACCGAGGTACATGCCCTTAGCGGGAACTGAACCTGGATCTCTCCAGACCGCAGGCCAACGCTCTAACCGCTGAGCCAAACCGGCCAGGGCGGAAAAGATTTTTAGAAATTATAAACCAAACAGAAAATTCTACCAGAGTAATAACTTGGGGAAAAGGACTATATAAGTAACAAGTCACCCTGCTGAACACCAGGGTTGAATGAGGACTCCATATGAGAGACAAATCAGCATAACTTTACCGATGGATTCTGATGTGGGTCTGAAGAGAACTCTTTGCTGTGAAAGATTTGCCACAGATTTCACATGTAAACGGCTTCTCACCTACAAAAGGGAAAGCATTTAGAAATACACATTTAACCTAAAACAGAAAGCAAAAATCACCCATAGTTTCACAATATAAAAAAAAAACAAGGGCAATAAATACCACTTGAATCCTCAATAAGCACAAATGCATTAAGCACGTGCTAGGTGCCAAGAGGATAGAGAGAAAATGTAGCTACGGTTCTCTCCCTTTAACTTAAAGTGAACGCAATTGTCCATAGGAAAGAATGATGCACCACATTCACTCCTGTATTGTCCACCCGAGTAACTTTAACTCCCATACCTTACTGCTTGGTTGGGCAGTCCTCTTGACCTTCACAAGGACACCTGTGCACTAGAGTGACTTCCATATTATTTACATTTATATCTATCTTTCAAATGTACCCTAGTCCGACCACTCCTCACCATTTCCACTGCCACCTCTGGTCCAGGCCATTGGCATCTCCCTGCAGCAGCCTCCTAAAGGGTCTCCCCTGACCACTTCTGTCCCTGCTTCCCTGTTTTAATGCAGTCAGATCATTGCAAATCGTGTGCAAACACCCTAACGGTGCCCATCCAGAGATAAAAGCAAAGTCCTGGGCCTACAAGGAACTGATCTGTCTGATCACCCCCATTTCTCACCTCAAGCCTCCCTAACCTCATCCAGCACTTTCCCCTTGCTCACTAACTCATCCTCTCAGGCATCCGGGAAAGTCACTGAACTCACATCCCCTCACCCTGGCATGTCTCCCCCAGGGGTCTCCCAGTGTGAGTCACTCACCTCAAGCCTGCTCAAATGTCACTTTACCAGGAGGCTGTGTCACTGCTGAAAGCACTGCCCCACCCCCAACACCCCTAGTCCACTCCCCTGAGTTACTGTTACCACAAGACTATCACGTTTTTATTCTCTACCCCACCCCATTCTTATGTAGGATAACTTATGGGCCTATTCACTCCTAGCACCCCAGTGCCTAGAATCAGGCTTGGCACACTGTTCCAGAAATCCTCATTGAATGAATGAATTTCACAGGACAGTGACTAAGGCTCACACAGATGTGACTGCTCCAGACCCCACTAGGAATTAATAAAGCTTTGACAGTGTTTATTCAGCACTAGTTTGTACAGTGCACATACAGTGATAGACTGTCATACCCTCCAGAAACAAAATTAATGTAGACAAGGGAACTATATGTTAAAAAAATAAAAGCAAGCAGCAAAATCCCATTTAACTAGATAACAGCAAGGAGTGCAATCTGAAGTGGAGGATGGTCAGGTAGCTTCCCTTTCTCCACGCTGACCAGAGGCTCCAAGTAGACAGAAGACACTGACAATATGGATGAGTCTGCATCTGTGCATCAGGAACTCTTACCCCTCCAAAGGTTAAAACCAGGCCACTGCCACTATCTCATCATAGCTTTCCAAACCAGAGCTGGGGCCTCCTGTTCTCAGTTCTCCTCCCTCTCCACATTCAAAGGCTGAGGACCTGCTGTGTGCTTGTCATTCAATTCCATCCTCATTTACAACAACTCAGAAACTCCGCCTGTTGGCAAATGTTTTAAACATTGTTTGTGTAAAAAGACTTTGGGGTCCCTAGCGAAGGGTCAGGCCAAGGGATCCTGGTACTTTTGTCAATTTTTAACTTGATTAACTAGCCTACCTGCTGCCTCAAGGATTGCTGGTCAGATTTCTCATTATAATTCTGTCTTCTAGCTTTTTTTTTTTTAATCATCCTCACCCGAGGACAATTTTGCATTTATCTTCAGATAGAGCGGGAGGGAGAGAGGGAGAAAGAGAAAAAGAGAAACATCGATGTGAGAGAGACACATCGATTGGCTGCCACACACATGACCCCAACCAAGGCCAGGGACAAACTGCAACAGAGGTACGTGCCCTCAGTGGGAACCGAACCTGGGTCTCTCTGGTCTGTTGGCCGACGCTCTAACCTCTGAGCCAAACCAGCCAGGGCTGTCTTCCAGCTTTTTAAACTTTTCAAAGTGAGGTCAATAGTGAGGATGTGTTCAGGGTCCTTTGATGTTAGGGGATTGCCAAGGAGCCACTTTGGCCATCCAACCTTTGGCATTACTATATTCAAACATTTGTTTTAATAAACCCCATCAATATCCATTTTTTTAATCCCAATTTTTAAAAATCATCTAAAGATTTCTATCCTGCTGCTACTAGTCCTGTGACTCTCCATTTTCTTTTTGTTTCACCCCATCAGCATTTCTGTGGGCCTTCCCCTGGTTGGATTCGTAGAGTCACACTCCTGTCTCTACTCTGTCCTTGCATCGTCATTGTCTAATCTTCCTGTAACCAACTTCCTTCTGGCCCCACGGCCGCCCACGGCCTGTCACCTCTCCTCGATATGAGAATTCCTTGAACTGTGAAACCAAAATCCATTGGTGCAATAATACAGAAAAACAGGGACTGATAAAATTATGAAAACAGTCATGTTTAAACAGGCTTTATGTAAAAAAGTTGAATATTTCATGGGAATGGATATTATGTGTGGCTAAAGTCAATTCCCCTACCCAGTATTGTAAAACCAAAACCTGTTGATAAAATCCTAATGGAGGCTACAGTTAGAAATGTAATAGTTTATGGAATTAAGGTAAAAGTTTATAGAATTGTTATATATTCAACAGGCCTTATGTGAAATGATTGCATCTCTTTTACATGATTGTATCATGAGGGTGGACATTCTCTCACTGGGAAACATTTCTCCTGCCTAATATTGTAAAACTGAAGGCATGTAAATCCACCCTTTAAGCAATGTTAATTATAATACGGCAGCCCTGGTCCGGCTGGTGTGGCTCAGTGGTTGAGCGTTGACCCATGAGCCAAAGGGTCAGGGCACATGCCCAGGTGGTGGGCCTGGTCCCCAGTGGGGGGCATGCAGGAGGCGGCCAATCTATGTTCTCTCTCATCAGTGTTTCTATCTCTCTCTTCCTCTCTCTGTAAAATCAATAAATCAATAAAGGAAAAAAATAAAAAATAAATTAAATACATGAAATATGGCAGCCCTGGCTGGTTTGACTCAGTAGTTAGAGTGTCAGCCCACCAACTGAAGGGTCATGGGTTTGATTCTTGGTCAAGGGCACATTCCTAGGTTGCAAGTCCGATCCTTGGCCCAAGTCAGGGTCGTGCGGGAGGCAACCAATCGATGCATCTCTCTCACATCGATGTTTCTCTCCCTCCCTCCCTTTCACTCTATCTAAAAATCAATGGAAAAATATCCTCAGGTGAGGATTAACCAATAAATAAATAAATATGGTAAAATCTTACTAAAGACAACCTAGAAATGTTATGTCCTAAGAAACTGGCATGGTAACTACAGGGTTGGAAGCTCCAAAATATGGCCAGACAGAAAAGTGGGTTAAACTCCATTTATAGCTAGGATCCTACCAAACTGCTGCCAGCCCTAAAAAAAATTATAATTTAAAATTACAACAGCAATTATGTTGCAATTAGATTAAACAGTGCACTTAAATCAAATAATTGGTATGCAAGAACCACTATGAGGCTTCAAAATTTTTTTAAAGTTTCATTGAAAAATTTGCTGTAAAATATTTATTTTAATAGGCTAATGAAACATTAAAAATAGACGTACTTAAAATAAAGAACTATAAGACTGACATTACCCCTTACAGGTGACTATCCTCGGATATCTTTCATCCCTTGGTTTAAGGCAGTGGTTCTCAACCTGGGGGTCATGACCCCTTTGGGGATCAAACGACCCTTTCACAGGGGTCGCCTAAGACATAACAGTAGCAAAATTAGTTATGAAGTAGCAACAAAAATTATTTTATGGTTGGGGATCACCCCAACATGAAGAACTGTATTAAGGGGTTGCGGCATTAGGAAGGTTGAGAACCACTGGCTAAGACCAATCTGAGGACCATAATTAGAGAATTTCTTAAACTCAAGGAAGATGCTCAAAAGTTTCTGTAGGGTGGTGAACACACAATACAATATACAGATGGTGTATTATAGAACTGTACACTCATAACCTATGTAATTTTATTAACCAATGCCACCCCAATAAATTCAATTTAAAAAGTTTTTGTAAATAGTTTATCTCCTGAGCTCAGTGAGAGACAATTTCACACTGCCCCTTCCTTCTTTCCCAAATCAGGCCAAATGGCTACTGATCCTTTCTCCCAGGGATAACTACTGCCTATGTCCTAAGAGCTGGGCTTGGCTTCCTGCCTGCCTGTAACAGGCAGGCTGTCAGTTTTTTCTCTTGGCTATCACAGGGAATGACTCCGGAAGGTGATAACCTTTACATCCCTTGAGTCCACAGAATAGTTTAACACTGCCAGAAATAGTTACTGTTTGTCCCAATTGAAATATAACATTTGAAAGAATTTAACAACTATGATTAGAAATAAAACTATGTACCCAGAGAAAAAAAGGCAACTCAGGGATGATGTAGTGGGATGGGTAGCTAACCTATGATGTCACTTAAGTTACAACCCAGTACTTTGGGAATTGAGAGCAACGGTCCGTATCTTACAAATCTTTGCAAAATGAGAAAGGCAGCTCAAAGCCCACCCATTTTTAACAATGTTTCTTTCTTAATGTTTTTATTGATATTTTAGAGAGAGAGTGGGAGACAGAGAGAGAGAGAACCACTGATGTGACAGAGAAACACTGATCTGCTGCCTCTGGCACACACCCTGACCATGAATTGAACCAGTGACCTTTGGATGCATGGGGCAACGCCCAACCAACTGAGCCACAGCGGCCAGGGCAAAGCCCACCCATTTTTATCATTCTCAATTCCTAAGACTGAAGAAAAAAGCAAGAAAAAAGAAGAGTGTTTTTTTAAAAATATGAATGACTATAGAAGCACCCTTGCCCCAAATCTAGTCTATAGTCTCTACAAGATTGTCTTCACAAATTACAGTAAGAAAAGTCTTTAGTTTATCTGAGTTCATGAACTTAACTTATTATGTCTCCTGGCTGAAAATTTAAACCAAAGCCTAGAAGGTCTCTGTTCACATTTGTCTATATGCTCA